GGATATATCATATCGTGACCCCTCTGTCATGATATGTATCGTATCGCCAAATTCTTGCCAATACACAGCCCTACTAAATATAACAGCAACAAATTGAATGGATTAAACTCTTATTTTAGCCTAGCTGTACCTTTATTCTGATTGGGTTGATAATCTGGTGATTGGTGGAATATTGCTGTAATAACTCTTGAAAAACAAATGCATATTTAAGAATCCAGCACACACAGTGTGTTGGGTTATATTGTCCTCAGTGACAGAAAATAAAAGTAAATSTAATCATTTCTGTGGGAGTTCAGTTTTTATAACATTTCAAGAATCTTTGGTTTGGAATTGAATTTTTTTTATCTTTTTGTTTTCATACTTTAAAAGAACAAATGACAATTGTATAACTATTTTGCCAATCTCTGCTCAAACTCAAGGTTAAACAATTTGTTAAGAAACACTGAAAATCTATAAGGATTCGAATATTTTAACTGTGAAGATAACGAAAACCYTGTTCTGACTCCTACAGTGTAAAACAAAGACAGAAAGTCTCCTGTTTGAAACAAAACCCAGTGTAGAAGAGTCTAACTATTCCAGTTAACGGCCAGTGATAAAGAATATATAAACTATAAACAGGACATCATGTTGGTCGTGTCCATTTTACACAATATGTTTTGAACAAGAAAGTAATTCTTTGTTTATGAAAGTCAGCAGAAAGACTGCCGACAGGAAAACTAGATTTCCTTCAAAATACAAAAATGCATCTTTCAGAGCCACATTTAGTCTTCACCTCAAACCATGCTTCGAATAGTTCGTCTCACTGGAAGATTTGTCTGAAAAGAGCTTTGCAGCAAAATAAATCAAGCAGCATTATGGTAAAAAGGATTTGACTTGTTTCATGTTCTCCTCTCCGTCAACACTCTAAAAGCYGACATATGCCACAGGGAATACACAAACAACTCCCGCTAACCAATCACAGCTCGTCCAGGTCCCTGTGGTCCACGTTCCTGAGGAGGTGGGCTGCCAGAACTTCTGATTAAAAAACTGATAAAAACAGTGAAGATCCAGACTGACAGCAAGAGACGTTTCAGGCTTCAAATTGCCAAATGTCAGAAAGGATGACACAAACAGAATCTGTGAAAATAAGAAGCAAATTCACCATAAAAGCATGAGTGTAGGCAGAGGGTTAAGGTCTTCAGCACTGCGCTACGGACAAAAATAGTCAGAAAACTGCCAGAAGAGAAGCTGCTCGGTGAATCTTTGCAGCTGATTAGGGAGGTGAAGTTAACTGCCGTTAACTTTATTGTTGATAAAATACACAAAAATAAGTATTTCCTTTTAGTAGTCCATCAACACAAACAGCAAATTCAATCTTTCATGGCTTCTTCATGGYTGTTAAATATGAACAACTTTATTAGCTAACATACCACACATCAYGTAGCAAAACATAGGCTAAAAACAGCCGAACACAAGCTAAAAGCAGAACAGCAGCTAAAAGGTAAAARTAGCAAACAGACATCAAAGCTAACATTTGACAAACAAATGCCAATGTTAGCAAAACTGAAAGAAAAGTAGCGCAAGACAATAGCTAAAATTAGCAAAACATTAGCTAAAAGCTAAAATGGGTAGTACAGTCATTAACAACCAAAGGAAGCAAAATGGTCACAAAAACTTACAAGTAACAAAGATTCTCGTATAGCTAAAATTTGTGAAACATATGCTAATATTAGCAAAACTGTACTGAAAAGTAGCATGACCAATGCTAAAACTAAAGTCAACTAAACATTAGCTAAAAGATGAGAATAATAGAATATTAGCTAACAGCTAAATTTAGCAAAATGGTAGCTAAAAGTTAAAAGTAGCCAAACAGATGTTAAAAATTTAACATTTGTCAAACATATGCTAATATTAGCAAAACTGTAATGAAAAGTAGCACAACTGCTACAACAAAAATCTGATAAACAGTAGCTACAATTAGCAAAACTTTAGCTAAAACCTAAGATGAACAGATTGGTAGTAAATAACTAAAAGAAGCAAAATGGTAGCTAAAACCCAAGTTACAGATGTCAAAGCTAGCAATTGTCAAACATATGCTAAATATTAGCAAAACTGTATTGAAAAGTAGCATGACCAATACTAAAACTAAAGTCAACTAAAACAGTAGATGAGAATAGCAGAATATTAGCCAACAGCTAAATGTAGCAAAATGGCAGCTAAAAGGTAGCCAAACAAATGGCAAAGCTAACATTTGTGAAACATATGCTAATATTAGCAAAACTGTAATGAAAAGTAGCATGAGCAATGCTAAAACTAAAGTACACAAAACAGTAGCTAAAAGATGAGAATAGCAAAATATTAGCTAACAACTAAATGTAGCAAAATGGTAGCTAAAACTTAAAAGCAGCAGAAGAGGAGCTAAAAGCTACAAGTGGTAGAACAGTAAATAGCATAAAGTAGCATAAGAAGCAAAAATAGCTCAAATATGCTGAAGGTAATGTTTATGCAGAAGTAATTTGACTCTAAAAACATGAAAAATAGGTGTGTGTGTGTGTGTGTGTGTGTGTGTGTGTGTGTGTGTGTGTGTGTGTGTGTG